ATTAGCCCCGCCTCTCTATCCGCCGCTTTTGGTCGCCTAAAGGCCAGATTTGCTGCACTAAAAAGGCCCATGGACATTACCATGAATGACCTGCCCCATGTCATTTATGCCTGCTTTGTTCTCCACAATTTCTGTGAGGTCAGTAAAGAGACTGTAGATGAACACTCTGTGTTTGGAACAATACAGGGCGACACACAGTGAGGAGAGTGCTCACCAAGTACCTTGACCCTTAAAAAAAGTGACCACAAACTGATTAGATGACCTACTGGTCTTTTTGTAGTATTTGATGCCTCTTTATGTATTACTCATGCCATTTTGAAAGTGTTGTGAACTGCGTGTCTTGTGAAAAATAAACGTTATGACCTGAGAGAAGGTGCTCCAGCTCCGCTGTTGAAGGTACAGGCAATATACAATATACAATACAGGCAATATGCAATATAAAACTTTTAAAATCTATATAAAAACAGGTTATTGTTGTATTAAACATCTATAAACACACACAAGACTGAACTATACATGATATGTATTGGTGTGTATTGTTTAGTCTGATGTGCTGATTGCTGGGGTGTCTGAAGATAGGCCAATGCAGTGGAGTGTTGTGTCATGCGCATAAATGCATGTTGCTGTGCATGTATTGTTTAGTCTGGTGTGCTGATTGCTGTGTTGTGTCATGCGCATAATGTGCAAAGGCAGGCTGGAGCAGCAATTCCCTGCCTGTTTATATATTGCTCAACAATACAGTCCCCAAGAACCTCAAGTTGTTTCTTGTTTTACTTGCACTACAATCAGTACTGCTTATTTATACATTTTTATATTGCTTTTTTAAATATGTCTATGTGTGTAATGCTGCTGCGGCATTGCAATTTCCCAGCTTGGGATCAATATAATACATCTATCTGTCATACTCCCATCATTTTGAAAGTTGTGAACCATGTCTCTTGTGAAAATAGACAAATAACTGCCACCGCTTAAAAGTTTTTGTCTTTAATGAGAAAATTCAACACAACAACACAATGTATTTTACATGCAGCAATTAAACAAAAAAGAAGCACAGTTCAGTTTCCCTCGCGCAACAGTGCACGTCTGTATGAAAAAGACTGTTGCTGTGGGGTGTGCGCATGTGTTGGTGTGTATTCTGTCTGGCGTGCTGGTTGATGGGGGGTTTGGAGAAAGGCCGGTGTAGTGGGGTGTAGTGCCATGCGCATAAATGTGTGCTGTTGTCCAAATCCACTGCTGCTGTGGGGGTAGGCAGGCTGGAGCATTACTTCTCTCACCAGTAAGAAGCCCTCTTGTATGGAGTTTGCAATGTTTGTGTTGATTTGCTGCATGGAGTCCGTGTTTCTTTTAGAAGACTCCTCCATCAGCTTGGTTTTAACAAAATGTCTGCTGAAAGACTTGGGTCTGGACTTGGACACAAATTTCTACCCCATGGAACACCAAGAACAATGACAATTCCAAGTAACCCAGTACTATGCATGAGAAAGATGTCTCTCAATGGATGAGTCGAAGATGTATTTGTTCTGTTTTAACCTTTGCTGTTCAGCTAATCCACAGGAAAAATAAGAGCTGTCCAGTCTCCTCCTAGTGACAAACCATGTCACATCCAACCAGCAAGCTGGGTCCTGGCATCAAGAGAGTTCCAGAAGGAAAACTCACTGAAACCCAGCTGGTCCTAACCTCAACAGGTGTGCTTAAGACCAACATAGCAGTCAGTGTTAAGGTCATCCTACTTGGCACTGTAGGAAGGTGCCCCCCCACCATGAACCAGGAATCAACAGAATCCCTCTTCATCTGGTGGGTCCTCTTCCTCATCGCCTACAGTGCCATACAAGGTCAACTACATCCCTGGGAAGGACTCCTTCCCTTGAGGAACTACGCAGGCAACCGACTCCCAGAAGTAGATGTACAACACTTACTGTCATCAAAGGAACAACGCAGGCAATCTAGTCCCAGAAGTAGATGCAAGACATCAACAGTCTGATGGCTTGGCCTTTCACTCCCTGTGACATTTGCCTTGTGCAAAACTTCACCGATGAACACTGTGCTTGTCCCAATCCGCAACAAATTAGAAAATGACATCACAAGCAAATATACAGATTTATTATTATTTTATTATTATAGATTTTATTTGGGATTGATTGTGAACTGTTACCTGTATTATTGTTGCAGATTTGGTTTCGGTTGACTTTCAGAGTATGTTCACTTTCATTTAGTGTTAAAGTTGATTCACTATTTTAGTTTGGTTTTCAATTCGGTTTTCTTCAGTTAGTTTGTTGATGTTTTTTCCATTCACATAAAAAAAAAAAAATTGTCGCTTGAGGAGGACATTTTTACAGTTACTTACTAACCAAATGAGAGGTGGCAGCCGGCTCTTGACCAAACCCCACACCCACCACTTCTTCCCTTTGTATTTCTACTGTCTCCTTCCCCCTTGATCAAACCCCCACACCTACCTTTCCTGCCCTTTGTATGCATCACATTTGGTCTGATCACTACCCTTTGTATTACTTCCCTCTGACTCTGACGTTAATCCTGTAACGTCTGGTGACTGAATACCATTTACATACTGTCTATTGTATTGTCCATGTATAAAAGTACCTTGATTAATTTGCTCTGGATCCGCTTACCTACTCAGACCTGCTCTGTGTATCTAATTTCACCAGGATGCCGGTATTCTTTATTAAACTGACACCACCACAGCAAACCTGAACTGGACTGGACTCACTATGCAGAGTGACTAATTTCAGAATAATATTTGATTAGAATTACTAATGCATCAGTGTGCACTTTATAATAATCATGATGAATTTATATTGAGTCTTAATGAACTGAATCTGAAAAGTAATTTATGACTGTAAAGAACAAGATTTGCCTCTGTAGCAGCATACAAATGACTATTTGTATGCTGCTTTACAGAGGCAAATCTATTTGTATATTAGTATATTTTCTTAAGTACAGTACTTGAGTGAATATACCAAGTTCATAAGTTCATGCATTTTCAAATACATTCTCTGCCAGCACAAAACTCAGATCCTCATATGTTCAGTTTGGGAAACCACTCATACTAAATACCTCTGCAACGTGTGTTGATGCAGATCAGGTCTGTGATTCTGGAGGGAACCAACTCCTTGGTGGGTTCTGCCCGATCCCTCGGATACCTAAATGGAGAGACAAACGCTGTGAAAGAGCCTCTTCCTTGCCAGGAGTGCAGCCTTGCCGCTCTTTGTGAAATGGCTAAAGAGCTTCCTCTAGTGGACGAGGAGGAGCAGGAGGAGTGCGTCCAGCTACTTGTTGCTGAAGATGGCTGCACATCACATGTTGACTTATTCTCTCGGGTAACAGAGAGCAGGTCGGACCAGGCTACAGTGGTTACACTGATGGGAGAGGAATATGTCATTCCACCAGACACAGCCTTCCTGCTCTCTGATTTTACAAGAATACAACCTCTAGTCCACTGTGAGTACATTATTGGGAAGAGTACAGTATGAATGGCAGCTAACTGAGAGAATATTCTTCAGGCCATCTGGAACAGATTTGACGAAATGCCTTACAGTTGCATTCACTGCATGATTGTGGTAACTTATTTTGCTTGAAGATAAAAGCTGTAAAGTTGTGGCATAAATACGACCACCCCTCCTTGAATGTTTCATTGTAAAATACTTCTGGTGTGACTCAGTGTGTGTCTCCCGTGAGAGCATAGTTCTGACATTGTTTGTTAAAGCTGCTTGTCTCTCACACAGATGGAAGAACATTTGACTTAATAGTCATGGATCCGCCGTGGGAAAACAAGTCTGTGAAAAGGAGTCGCAGGTAATTTGGCATTCGAGCATTTTAGAAGGTGTAAGATGAGACTTTATTTATCTCTGTGGATGAAATTTAGATGTTACAACAGCACAAGAAACAGGCTAAAAAGTTTTGGGGAGAAAACAGATGAAGTAACAATTCAATTCCAAAGCTACATACATTATATAAATTACAATACATCACACCAGTGGCTCCCAATCTTTTTGGCTCATTACCCCAAAATGAAGCTATGTACCTCTTTTTAAAGACCGGAGACCTGAAGAGGTCAGTGTATACAGTGTTTTACACTATTTGGTCATAAACTAAAGTATTGGATGAATTTAAAGTTTGACCTGATGATGGCACTAGATGAAAAGTTCAGTTATTTAAAGATATTTCAGAAATCATACTGAGGGGGGGCATTGACATCTGTACCAAAACTCATGGCAAACCATCCAGTAGTTGTCGAGACTCAAAATCACAAATGTCAACCTCAAGGTGGCGCTAGAGTGAAAATCAAGGGTTTACTGAAGTCACGATGGGAACAATGGATGTCTGCAAAATGTTGTGCCAATCCATCCAGTAGATTTTGAGATATTTCACTAAACTATTGAAAAATGTAACCTGTTGGTGGCGCTAGAGAAGTCAAGGGATCACCAAAGTCTGGGACCTCCAATATCTGTATCAAATTTCCCAGCAATCCATCCAATAGTTTAATAAAATTTAAAGATAATTCACTTTGAGCCAGAAATGTCAACCTCATGGTGACGCTGGAGAAGCATGCCTGGGAAGCATTGTGGGGCCCAGGGGCCTCATGTACTAACGTTGCATACGCACAAAATTCATGCATACACCATTTTTCACGTTCACGTTCGGATGTACTAAAAGTGAAATGAACGTGAGAATGTGCGGTCCTCCACGTCAGCTTCATTGC